TGAGATTTAGGTGCAACGCGGCGAAAGCCCACACATCACGCTAGACCATCATGCTGGGATGTAGTGTGCATGGGCTTGGTTCAAATCCCAGGACACCAGCTTGTGTTTAGGTCTAGTTGGATAAGTTCGAATCTTTCCTTTAACCTGGCGTGGTTCACCTCTAGATCGACGCATAGTTCGGAAATCTCACTTTTTAAAAATTTGTACAACCGTATACAAGGCTGACCGGGGTATAAATATAATGCAATTATAGCAGTTTTACGACCCAATCTACACCCTTTAGATAAAAAGACATGATGTCGATTTCGGAGGGATGAGACTTTTTTCTCCAGTATGTCCGCTCGGATTTGCGTCCCGCTCAGTCCTCGTTAGTCCTGACAGACAAGGTCGAAGCAGTTTTCCTCTTAAATTATCTTGAACTGTGTCGATGGACAATATACATTTATATTTTGGGACGAGTGAGATTCACAAATCTGAAAGGAAGAAGGCAAAGAAAGCAAACTATTTTACCACGTTGTCTGATAATTCTGTTGGTTTTTTTATATCCCTTGCCCATTTATATGAGATTGACACCATTTGATTAGTAGAAAAAAAGTGGACATGGTGTCCAATAGTGTATTACGAGCATACTTAGTATGACAAGTAACTGTTACAGATAGAGATTCAAGGATTATAGATGTAAATGTAAGTCATTGATCTGAGAGCAGTGATGGTTTTAGAAATAATGGTGGTGATGAATGATGATGTGGGATTGCGTTTTTAGTAATGTTAGTGCTAGTCCTATCTTCCTCTGCTCCAATGAGTCACGAGGGACGTGGGCACCCTCTATCCCGTTCCCTACTGGAACCATGTAGTTTATGGTCACCAAAGCTTGTAGCTCGTATCACTTTTTACATTTCACTTTTTCTTTAGTCTGATATCCTTGGGATGTCGAGGGGGTGTAGCTTGTGTTAATGGGGGTAAAAGAGTGAGGGGAAGGAGAGGGAGAGGGTGAGAGAGAAAGGAGGAGATGGGAAATGAACAAAGATACAATAAAATAAAAGCAATTCTGACACACTGTTAGTCACCCACATGGTTCTTTCAAAGCACACACTCACACACACACACACACACACACACACACACACACACACACACACACACACACACACACACACACACACACACACACACACGTTGACGTCACGCTGTTTGCTGAGGACATCCTGTGGCAAATCCCACGTCTCGCTCCCGGCTATTTCCGGGAAATTGTCTCCCCCTGGCGTAGGACAAACCACCCAACTGTTTGACACGTCGCCTGCACATTCCACATCTCCGGCCGTCTCCCACACTACTCCCTGGCCGATTCGATACAAACAGCGTTTATGCGCCGTAATCGAGTGTGTGTGCATTTGGGTTGCAACTGGTTCATCTGAAGGCTCTGTGTGTTGGATCAACAGCTGTATGAAAAGTCCGTTAACTCTTCATGACACGCTATGACAGCTCGCCACATGACGCCATGTCGTAGGGAACAGTTATCAACTGTTACTGAACATGTGTGTGCATTTTGATTTTAGCAGACGCCGCCTCAAAGGTTTCGCGATATGTGCAAATATCATCAACAGCGCTCAAACAATCTGAATATTTTAATCATTATTTTCTTTTTCGAGTGCATTATCATCAGTGCCTTTCACCCCTGGCCGGGTACAGGCCACAACAAAATTATACTAAATAAATAAAGAGAATGAATTTGCAACGACTAGGTCAGAGAGGGTGGTTTATATCACACAATAACCTTTTTCTTAGTGTATTGTTTGATTAGCTTTGCATTTTGAGAAAAGAGAGGCCTATCATATACGATGTATAAAATCTACTGCTGGGAAAGAACAAGAAAGACAGACGGGTGAGATAGAAAAAAAGAGTATAAAAAGTCAAACCTACACCAGACGCCCCTTTCTTCAGCTACCTGCATGATATTCGAGTACTTTTGAGTTGAGCCACGAGACGTAGATCTATCATATAGGGGAATTTTGTATTGAAGGACGCGGTAAAATTTAGTTCACAAGTTATTATCTAATATAATTACTGAAAAATAGGGAATTTTGCATTTCTGATCTCAAACCGTGATTAGAATCTACTTTGTTTTTTTAGCATGAAGAAGAGCGGTATGTTCTTGGTGAGTATAAGAACGTGTTGTTGTTGTGTTTTTAAGATGTTTGAGATCGTATGGCCATACATATTGTAAACTGCCGCAACTTCAGTTACATTGCCAGCTTTTGTGGCAAAATTATGAAAGGAAGATCAACAAGTAAGTGTCCGCGGAGATTTGAAGGTGAGTAGAGAGTAAGTGTTGTCTTTTGGAGATTCTTGTTGGCAGGTTTGCTCTCCCTGTGCTGCTTTCACCTGATTGGATTCTATCATATATATGTTATTGTTAGCTTCTTTTGTGTTTAGTAAATGAGTAAAACATGGCGTCGTATGTGTTTTAAGTCATTTTAAACAAATCAGAATTTCAAGAAGATTGAAAGTCTGTATCTGAAGTCCATCTTCGATAGCTGGTTTTCTATCAGACTTTTGTTCCTGTACGTTTTGTCTTGCTATATTTATAATTCTTGTGTTATCTGCTTCTCTTTACTGAAATATCAAAAAAAGAAATATTGACAACTCTGAAAAATCCCAAAACCACGAAAGTTTACGACTTCCCGGTAAAGAATTGGACAAGCGGGCTAACCCAGATTTCGGGGGGTTTCCAGAAATCTAGACCTACACCAAAAGTGGACTTTGCCCTACCTGTGGGAGAAGTTTGGTTTCATTGGTGCACAATTCTTTGGTTATAGAGAAAAGTCTTCTTGTCTTTTAAAGAAACTTAACAAGGATCCCAAAATTTACCTTCGATTTTCTCAAAACAGAATTTCTCGGGATAGCCCCCTTGTGCTTAAAAGCGACCAATTGAAATATACGTAGCCCTTAATTTTTGCCTTGCATGGAGCCAACTGGGCTAATATAACCTTGAAAATCACACTTTGTCAGACAGGAATCGATATCATCTGCTATTTCGATTCCGAGCCAAAGCATCGACAATGCTCTGTGTGGATTTCCCACCCACAGCGCCTCTATACTGCTGTGTGCGTCTCTCGTCAGTGTCCCTTTTGTTGTGCTTTTATGAGAAGGGAAGTCTCTTTGACCGTTGCTGATGAAGGTCATTAACTGTTATCCTTGCTTTCACAAAAGGAACAAAATTCTACAGCAACTGCCTGCGTTTTTCTCTTGTAACAAACCGGAACAGTAGTTGACAAGTCAGGGTCTCTACCCAAAAGACTTCATTTGGTTCCATGTTCATCCTGAAAAGTCGTATAAAGTGCAACACTTTTCTCTGCAATCCTGCAGCTCAAAACTTTAAAGAAAAAGAACAGTATGCCTGCTTCGTGAGACGAGCAATGTAACAAAGACGGCGTAAAACTGTCAGTGTGGTTCCCATAGGGCGTGTTTAATGGGCCTGATTGTCTCCACGAGACCCCCACGCGAACATGCCTGGACAAATAGGAAATGGCGCGGTTTGTGGGCTCCCAGGCAAATAGTAAGTGGGCAGGGCCTAAGTCCTGGGACCACAGCGTCATTGTTCCAAACGGATCTCAGGGGAATGCCTGCGTGCTCCGGACTCGCAGTGCCTGGAAAATTTGACTATTAGACAAATTGCCAGAATTCCTCGTGCTTCCATTCTGTTTCCCGCTCCCTGTTTGTTTTCCTCCTTCCTTCCTTCATTACGTTTGTTTGCTAAATTCAATTTGTGTTTCTTTTTCTTGGCGATTTAATGAGAGATCGAGGTGGTAACTTTTTAACTTTTTATGTCAAGTGTTGGCTCTCGTTTATTTCTCTTCTTTGTTATCCAGCAGCATGCTTTGTATAATAATATAGTATTGTGCCTACATTATTATGTTATTTCATGCATTGATGTGATATTAATCATCAAATTAGTTTTATTCAAAATCTGAGTTACTTTATCGATGCTTACGCCAATTTATTCCATTTTCAAAAACGGATAAAAGTTGGATATTCATATCTCTTTTTTTTCGGTCTTATTTTTTAAAATTTGATATGAATCTACTGAAGAGCTCTTTGTCAGAATGAGAACCAAACTTTGAAGAGTTTGAAGGATTTCGTTTCGTTTTGGTTTGGTTTGGTTGTTTGTTTCGTTCTTGGGTTTTTTTCGGGGGCTGGGATTTCTTTTCTTGCCTGTCGTTCTTCATTATCTTTTAGTACTGTAAATAAATATTGAAACGTTGTTTTGGAGAGTCCGTGACAGGAACTGTCGCACAAAGTCTCCTGTGCCAGGATTCGGGTTTGGAAGAAAAGTAATTACAGCAAACACAACAACACACACGAAATGACAACCGTCGCCCGATACACACTCACTCACTCACGATATATGCTCCCACAGGCTGTAGAGGGGGGTGAGTGGGGGAGGGTGAGAAACTGGACTGTGATGAGAGAGGGCGGAGACAATGAAAAAGGAGAGGCGGGGAGTAATAAAGGAAGGAAAAATAAGAAGATC